TCAAAATAAAAAAATGAAAAAGGCCTGGGAATGTAGCACAGTGGTAGAGCACTTGTGTAGTCTGTAAGAAGCCCTGAGTTCAAGTTCCAGTACAGGGGGGAAGAAATTACTACCACTGTGAACTGGGGTTTTGTTAACAATGGTGTGCTCTTTCCCCTCAGAGGCTGGAATCTGTTTCAGGCGCCAGGCATCATGCTCCGGGTGCAGGCAAACACAGCACCCTTCATGCACGAAGTCAACTGCACCGACCTGCCAGCCACTGTATCTGCTCCCTGTCTGGCCCATTAGCGTGAAGGTTTGCATGTATCCATTAACCCATCCTCCACCCCCACAAGCCACTCACCACCCAAACCCCAGCCCTGCGAGAGAGTGGTCCCTGGGACTTCTGCGCCCAGTCGCCTGCAGATGTGTTTCACAATGAATCATTTAAACCAAGCACAAGAAGCACTTCAGAATATTCTGGCATCTCCATTCAAGTTACTCTAGAGGTGGTACCACCCTGATCCAAATCTGTTCTCAGAAATGCAGTAAGAAAGCTCTCCAGGGACCGGAGGAGCCTGGATAAAGTGGCTCCCTGCCAGGGCAAAGAACAACACAATACTCTGCGTGAAAAGTTGTTTTTCTTTTCTTTCTCTTTTCCTGAAGGGGAGGAGAGTGTTTCTATTTTCCTTCATTGTATACCAAATCTCCACAGACCACAAATAAATCCCTAAAAGTATACACATTAATGTTAACACAGTCAGATGGGAACAGTTAAACAGGAAAAAAAAAATGGAAAAAAAAAAAGCCACACATGGTGGTACACACCTGTAATCGCAGTTACTTGGTAGGCTGAGGTGAGAAACTTACAATTCCAAAGCCAGTCTGGGCAATTTACTCTTTGTTGTTGTTGGTTCTTAGACAAGGTCTCAGTATCGAACAATTTAGGCTAGCCTTCAACTCACTATATAGCCCAGGCTGCCCTCAAACTCACGTTGATTCTCCTGTCTCAGCATCCTGAGTGCCATAATTTCAGGTCTACATCACCATACCCACGACTGGGCAAGTTAGCAAGACCACGGATAGACAGACAGATGGATATGCTTGGGAGTGTAGCTCCAAGGTAGGGCCCCTGTTTTCAGTCTCTAGTACTTTGAAAAAAAGAGACAGCAAAGAAACGTAAGGGATTCCTGCCTTAGATAACACAAGGATGTGCTTAGCTCACAATGCTTATCTCTTCCCCCAAATCCATTTTATTTCAAGGATAGAAAGAAAGAAAAGAAGAAGGAGAGGGAGAAAAAGAAGAGGAGGAGGAGGGAACTACAACAAAATTTCAAAGCATGTCAATCGTGGCAACAATGGTACATACATTGCCCATCATGCAATGCTTATCTTGCTAATAAGCACTCTGTCTAAGAGGGGCAATTACCAGACTGTATCCAGAGACGCTGAGTAAGATTTTAGGACCTGTGACAGCCCCGAGGAATAGCTGGGGCAGGGAGCTCCTGAATCCACATATACCAAACCTCCCCCAGAAACCATTCCATCGAAGGGCAACCAGTGACCTTGTTATCCAAAAGCACCTCCAATGGAATCCCCTGACTGCCCTTCCAGTAGGGATTACCCTGGAGTAGTTCCTGGCAAGGAGAGTCAGAGTCCCCAAACTCCCTCCTGCCAGGGACTGCTCAGCATACCTGCTGTCCAGCAGAGGCCTCCAGGATAATCTTTTCTTCCAACAAGGAATGCAAAAGGTAGGAGAAACTGTAGACCCCCTGGCCTGCAGTCCAGTGGCTTCGAGTCAGAGGGCCTGGATTCCAGCCTGCACTCTACCCTTGGCCGTGAGACAGCTAACTGAGCCTTGGTCAGCCAAGCTATCTCCAACTGAGCATCCCTTCCAAGCCTAGAATTCCCGAATCTATGTCACCAAATGTTTCAAATGAAGACAATGACGATGTTCTCTTTATAGCAACTAACATCCCCCAGGGACCTTCTCTGTTCATGACTTTCCAACAGGCTCATATTTAGTTCAGAGATGTCTACATTTAACACAAACAGGGAGACAATGTCCAGTGAAGTTTTTTTTTTTTTAATTAAAATTATTCCACGCAGTGTTATTTCTCATAATTCTTTATTCTGAAATCTCTTTCCAGTGCTGGGCATAGAACCCAGAGTGTTGTACATGCTAGGCAAGCACTCTAACAGTGAGTTACACCCCCAGCCCTGAAATTAATGTTTAAATACACACACACACACACACACACACACTGGTCTAGACTGTCGCTGTCAGCTCTATTTTCTTTGTCTCTTGATCTTTTCTTTTTTCCTGGATCTCAGGGACATTTCAAGTGTTTAAACAAGGTTGGAGAAATCGTAGAAGTCAATACTATCTAGAACAGCTCAAAGGCCTCTGATTTTTTTTAGGTAATTGATACTGCTGACTTTACCTGTTTTCAAGAAATGATCCTCCTCCCCCATTAAATACTAGTGACGACAAAGAGCAGAGTAAGGAAAAGCAAATAAAGGGCTCTACCAGGCTTCTTTCCCACTTGGCTGTTAACTGGTTGTGTGCCTGGGGCACATTTAACCCTCCCGAGCCTCAGCACACACCAATTGCTAAAGGTGGATAATAACACCCTGGCTCCCTAACTCCCCACCAGCTGTAGGGAGTGAAGTGTGGAAACAGTGTCCAGCCAGGGGCAAAGAAGACACTCTGACTCTTCAAAACACAGGCCTTTGCTTCATTCGCAAAAACTCAGACAGCAGTGCTACTAATTAACTGTGCAGGTTAAACAGGAACAAGTTCCAGAAGTTCCAGCAGGTTCCATCAGGTCCAGGAGAATCAAGGGGTGAAAATAACGGAAGACGCAGAAGTTGCTCCCTCCTAGTTTTCAGTGGTAAGGTCAGGGGACACAGGGCAAAAAGGGAAGCTGGAGATGACAGGCTGCTGCCAGTTCAGACTCGGGGGGGCCCACATCTGGCAAACTGGGCCTACTTCCCACATCCATCGTCTGATTGGGTTCCTCTAAATTTTTTTAGGTTCGAAACCTCTTATCTCAGTTTCCACCTTTGCTTCCCTGACAAAGTAGGCAACAACTTCAGAAAATGATCTCACTCTAACTGAATCATGCTTACTTTAATCCAAATGAATTACACATTAAATAACTTATAAGTGTACATTATCCTACAGGTCGAGTCTGATTTTATCGGCCAATTAAGAAAGGGCCTCCACCTAGACCACTCACATGTGATAACCTCACTGGGTACTTGTAGGTATTAAAAGAGAGAGAGATGGGGAAGTGCTTTGCTCCTGTAAATACACGAGAAAGTCAAGAAGAGAAGCACCCAGGATAAAGACACTTTGTTCATACAGGAGAAGATTCTAGAACTGGTTCTTGCATCGGGAATTGAACTCAAGACCCTACGCTGGCCAGGCAGGCACTGTACCACTGAGCTATGTCCTTGACTCCCCAGAAGTGGTTCTTTTCTTGACTATTGCATTTTTTCTGAATTGCATGTAGCCCCGACACTGCCCTTAAATTCCCAACTTCTCCCTAAAGGGCAGGGGCACACTAGAAGTTTACCCAGCCCCATCTGAGCTGCCCAGCTCTGTGCCCACCAGGTAGGAAGATCGCCAGCTTTCTTAGAAACACTCCAGTACAGCGGGTCCGCTCATTTGCCCTCCGTTTTCTCCACCAAGAGGAGTGCTGCTTCTCCATTCACAAGGTGGGATGCACCCCCTAACTCTGCCCACTACGTGGCTTCCATCCTTCCAAACCCTGCTCAAAGGCTACCACCTCCTCAGAAGCCAAGCAATTCCAAAGCTCGAGTGACCCTGCTAAGCCAATGTCCCCATGAAACATTTTGTAAACTCTGGCTACTTCGATCTTGCATTTATTGTCCTAAGGTCTTGCCTTTACACTTGTTCCAAATGACAAACCAAGGTAGTCCCCTTGTGAGACCAGCCTCGGTCCAGTCTAAACAAAACCGCCCGGCTCTTTTCACAAAGTAGTGGCTCAAGAACATTATCGGATAGATTTAATGCACTGTATTTAAGTACAAATACAATCAGCGCTGAGTTTCCAGTTGCCTTGACTGGCTTCGCGCTCCCTCGCGGTCCCTGATCAGATGCAAAACGATCATGAAATCACCAAAAAGGTGAGGAGGAAGAAGAAAGAACGAAAGGGAAGCCCGGGCCAGAAAAGCCCTCTGAGTCACCATTTCCTGGATGCTGGAACTCATCTGCAGGAGACTGGGAGAATCATCCAGGGGCAGCGCGTGCAGGCCGAGCGCCCGCCCCGAACCCCCAACCGCCGCGGCTGCACCCAGAGCTGGGGCGCCCTCCTGTGGCCGCACCGCAGCCCTGGCCGCTCGCTCGGGGTTCGTCCGCAGACCACGCTCCCCGCGGCGGAAGAACTAGAGGCGCAGAAAGTTTCCGAGCCAGGAGGTTCGTAAGAAGACAAGCCCGGTCTGGGAACCTCAAGGAGCACGCGTGGCGGGAGTGGCGCGCAGGCCGGCAGCAACAATGAGAAGTCGGGGCGCGCATGAACCCCGTGTGGCTCCGAGGGGTCCTGCTGCGGGACTCCAGACGCCCAGGGCTCAGGGCTTCTACCCGCGCACCAACCTTAGGCGGAGGGCAGGCAGGAGCAGAGACTGGGCCCACGACCCAGGCGGGGCGCGCCAGGAACCCCGGCCACGGAGCGCGCCCGGGCTCTCGGGTCTGCTCTATTTCGGTTCTGAATTGGAGGGAGGGGCACAGCAGCTCCCTTTGGCGCATTGTGATTCTCGGCAATCAGGCTTCTGGGTGCCTCCAAAGAGCCCACCTGGAGTCCACAGCCCCACCCAACGCCGCCCTCCCCGCTGGGGTGACAAGTGGAAACAGCAACCCCCCACCTCCTGCTCAAGCTCCTACATCTCTGGGGTTCGGGGTGTAATACCCGGGCTTCCCCGCCTCCCGCAGTGGAGCGATCGACCGGGAGGCGGCGGCGGGGCCCGGCAGTGGGCGAGGCCGGTGCGGAGCCTACCTCGTCCACGGTGAGCGGCATGCAGATCCGGTACTCCTTCAGCAGCATGGTCCAGCCGACCGCGGAGCCCAGGGGCGGGAAGCGGGGAGAGGGGTGCCCCCAGATCGACGCGGCTGCCGCCCGGGCGCAGGGCAGGACTCTCGAGCCGGCCGGTGTAGCAGCCCGGGCGCTGCGCTCAGCTCCTGGCTTCCTCCGGTTCTCCCGGGAGCATGTCAGGGTTAGGGTCCCGGTGTGTGGGGCTACCCGCCTGCCTCCTCGCCGAGGTCGGTCCTCCTGGAACGCGGTGTTGCAAAGTCAGGGAGCGAGGAGGGTACCCGTTGGAGACGGCTGGGCTCGGATGTGCCGCCAGCTCAGGACATGCCTGGCAGCAGGCGAGAGGGAATGCGGGGGGGGGGGGAGCAAATTAAAACAAATGCACAAAAGTCACCTGCTCGATCCGCCTCCTAAGGCCGGGCTGAACCGGGCGACCCCCCTTCCTCCTGCCAGTCTGCCCAGGACTAATGTCACCAGGAACACATCGCAGCCTCAGCCGGAGATGCCGACTTTCCAGACAAAGGGTCGATGGGCTGTTCTCCCCGGGCGGTAAACAGATTTCCTGCTCTTTTTAGAGCCGGTCCCCGAGCGCTCCCAGGCTCGGCTGGGAGAGAAAAGGGAAGAGCAAGCGCCGCCGCCGCCGCTCGGCTCTACCCGGTGGAGTCCCGGAGCTCCGACCTCGGCTGGCGGCTGCCAGGGCCGGCAGGAGGAAGCTGGCGCCTTCCGCGCGCGTGCCCTCCCCCGAGCCCCTGGGCTCCGCGAGCGCCGTGCGCGCCCGCGAGTTTGCAGCCACCTCGCCGGGCCGGGAGTCGCGCCGAGCTGCAGGGAGCTTGGGCCGGCGAGGTGGGTGCGGGAGGAGCGAGCGCGACGAAGCTGACATCAGCAGCGGCCGCGGCGGGGAGGGTAGCCCCATCCGGCCAATGGGGAAATGGCAAAGAATGTGGAGGATTTAAACAAAACAGCATGTCTTTCCCGAGCCGCTGCCAGACGGTAGGGCTGCTCGGGAGCCGAGCTCGACCGGCACCGAGCGGGGAGCGCCGAGGGGCTGTCCACGACCCCTCTACCTGAGTCTGTTTGCAAATGTGCCCTGGGCGCACGGTCACAGAGCTCTATCCAGCCACTCTGGGAAGCTTCTGAGATACACAGTGACCCTTGACCTTTGGAAAGTCTTTAGAAACAAATGCCAAACACCAATGTTTTCACTTGGGTCGGTGAACAAGGTTAATCTGGAGGGGAATAGGATTTGTGAGCCCTGAAAGATAATAAAAAAAATCCCTTGCCTGATTTCCTAAGTGCTTTCAGAGACGGAATCCTGGGAAACAGGGAACACAGCGGTGTGAATGAAAATGAAATAACAGAAGAATATGAAACAGGAGAGAGGATGAACCCCAGAGTCACCTTGTTCCCTCTCCAGCTCTGGCTCTGCAGTGTGATTGTAGGCTTCGCAGAGCAAAAAGAATAGGGTTTCGTGTCAGCACTCCTGAGTTCAAAAAGTCACAGTGAAATGTCAATGAAAATGCCTGGAGTGTTGGTATTTCATCCATATTAAACAGATCCCTCGTTTTAACCACAAGAAGCACATTCTTCAGTTACTCAGGAAGCAGCCTGAACTGCTGAAGTCTGTTTTTCATTTGTCTGGTATTTTTTGAGGTTGTTTTTCTGAAAAATTGCTGGATTTGAAAAATGCATCAGTTGCCTCCATGAGAATAACCTGTAAGCATCATCTTTTCTCCAAAAAATATTCACTCTGTAAAGACCCACAGCTACTCCTAGAGTTTGGATGGTGATACAGATGGCCTCGATATTATAATATTTTTATTAAGACTAGTAAGTCATTAAGCAGTGTAACGATGATGGGCTTGTGGCTAGTCATCCAGATGGCTGGAGTGAATGTATAGCCTTGTGAGCATGATTCAAAGCCTGCTAGGAAAGTGACACCCTGAATTGAGCTTACATTTTAGTGAAAACTGTTTTCTAGATAAATACTTCCCAGAGCTGGCTCAGAAATACTCACAGTGACTAATTAAGGCTAAACCAAATTCCTCGAGGTGGAAAATCTAAATCTGACACTGTAGTGTTGAATAATAACACATTGAGAGTCTGTGGTAGCAAAAGAAGCACAAGCTGTTTTTCTTTTTTCTGCTTCTTACTTGAAGACAAGAGTAGTGGCTTTGCTTGGGACACACATACCTCTCTGCAGATGCAGCGAGGTGGCCTCTGGGCTGGTCCCCACGTGCACCTGCCTGTGGGGCTGTGGGACCAGTGGGTTCCTGGCCTTCTGGAGGTTTCCTTCTGGTATTAAAAAATCCTACCAGTAGATTCATGGTGAAGGAATTACTTCCCTGAATTTCCCAGATACTACTGTCGGGTACCTGTTCCGCCATTGCTCTGGGTCTACAGGGGATTCGTGCCCAGACCCTCTGGATACCAAGGTCTGTGAATGCTCAATCCCCTTTGTGGAACTGTGCAGTATTTACATGCAGCCTCCCCTGCAGATGAACTCTGAATCACTTATGATACCTGACTCAATGTACATGCTATGCAGATATGTGTGTTCAGGGACTCATGACAACAGAAAACATCTGCATGGGCCAAGTATAGACACAGTATCTTTGCTGAGTAGTTTCAATCTGCAATCTGTAGTAGGTTGAATCTGTAGATAGGAAACCCATAGATCCTGCAAACAGTGTGCATGTTTGTCCCATTCCTCATGTTGTAAGGTGACTTCTCTGTTAGATTCTTTCCCTGTTCTTTTTCTTTTTTGGGAGAGGGGGTACTGGGAATTGAATTCAGGACCTTGCACTTGCCAGGCAGGTGCTGTGCCACTGGGCTATGTCCCTGGTCTTGATTCTGTTTCTTTTCATTCAGCCTATCCACATGCCTGGTCTAATCCTGCCAGCACAACGCTAATCCTGCGACCTTGAAAAACTATATAGTAATTCTCTTTGGCCTACTTGGCAGGAGGCTCCTTCCCCTTGCCTAGCCCTGTTCCAGCCAAATGAGACAAATCAAGTGGCAGAGAAGGCCTGCACTTTTCTGCTCTGACCCTTCTGCTCACTCGTTGCCCTCTCTCCTCAGCTCCTCCCCATGCTGCTTTAAAGCCAGGCATTGACAATGTTTTTTTGGAAAGTTACTATGATGGAAATGTGCGGGTGGGTTAGGACTGCATACTAGCGGCAGAGGTTATATTATTCTAACAACACAGGAGACAAATGGAAAGCCTCTCAGCAAGACAGGAAATGGAGAGACGAGACTGATTCAAACGGTCTGGAAAGGAATCGGGACAGTTAGTATTGTTTACAATCAGGCGTGGATTAGTATTTCCTATAAGGTGGGGTGGGGGTTGGGTTGGGGAGAGTGTATTCATTCATAAGCGGTTCACACTGAGGGAGGAGACCGCCACCTACCGGTCAGGAGCTAGTGTTTGAAAAACGGTTTTAAGCTTGATTGTCCTCAGGCAGTGAAAGGCAAGGAGAAAGAACTTCTTTTCCGCAAGTGCAGACCTACTTCCAAAGAACCTTGAAGATGTTGCTATCATCGGTTTAGGTGGTACAAGTATCCCATTATCAGTGTGCAAGTATTGAGTTAAAAAAGAAAAAAGAGGGTGGAGTACAAAAGGTAGAAAAGATGAACAAAAAGAAACGTTCCCGGAAATGATAAGAGCAAAAGAGAGAATAGTAGACTGCAGATCCTTTTGCTGGAGGAAAGGTAGCCTCTTTAACAAATGATGCTGGGGAAACTGGCTTCCCACATGGCGAAAACTGAATGTAGACCCACATCTTTCACCATGCCCTCAACTAAAAATGGATCAGCGATCTAAAAGTTAAAGCAGAAACATTTTAATCTGCTAGAAGACAAAACAAGTAAAATTCTTGAAGACCTAGGCATAGGCAAAGACTTTCTAAATATAACCCTGGGTGCCCAAGAAATAACACCAAGAATCAACAAATAGGATCACAACAAATTTAAAAGCTTCTGCACAGCAAAGGAAACCAACAACAAAATGAAGAGGGAACCTACAGAAGGGGGAAAAATTTTGCCAGATACTCCTCAGACAGGAATCATATCTAGAATATATAAAGAACTTAGAAAAAATAGACTCCTCCCTAAATTTAAAGGTCTAGTAAAAAATGGGCATCTGAAATAATAAATGCTCTCAAATGAAAACATACAAATGGCCAAAAAGGGATGGAAATTTCGTTTTTGGGTTTTTTTTTGTCGGTACCAAGGATTGAACCCACGACTGCCTGCTTGCAAGGCAGGTGCTTATGCCACCGAGCTAAATCCCCAGCCCCTGGGATGGAGATTTCGCTCAGTGTGTAAGCACTTACCTGGCAAGGCAGGGTTGTGAGTTCAATCCCTGGTACAAAAACACACACACACACACACACACACACACAAATGGTCAAGAAATACATGCAAAAATGCTCGACATTGCTATTAGAGATACAAATTAAAACAACACTGAGATTCCATCTCACTCCAGAAATCAAACAAGAAAGACTGAGGGGGAACTCTTCTTCATTGTTAGTGGGAATATATACTGGTACAGTCACTTCAGAATCAGTACACAGATTTCCTCAAAAAAAAAAACCTAAAAATAGAAACTTCATTTGGCCTAGCTATTCCCCTTTTAAGGATCCTCCCAAAAGAACTAAAAGAATCGCATGACAGTGATACACCCATGTTTAGAGCAGCACGATTCATCATAGCTAAATCATGAAAGCAGCTTATACAGCCATCAATAGATGATGGATAAAGAAAATGTGGTGTTTGAACACAGTGGAGTACCATTCTGCCACAAAGAAGGATAAACGAGGCATTTGTAAGACAATAAATGCACCTTGAAGCCATAATGTCTGGTTTCCTAACTGCGTTTGTTGTTAATTCCTTCCTGTGCCTGATTTATAAATTTATCTAGAGCCGGTGTAATGGTGAATGCCTATGATCCCAACTCAGGAGGCTGAGGCAGGAGGATACCTGCAAATTCAAAATCAGGCTGAGGGGCTGGGGATTTAGCTCAGTGGCATAAGCACCTGCCTTGCTAGCAGGCGGTCGTGAGTTCGATCCCTGGTACCGATAAAAATGAAAAAGACAAAAAAAAAAAAAAAAAAAAAAAAACAAAATCAGGCTGAGCTACAGAGTTAGTTCAAGCCCAGCCCGAACTGCATAGTGAAACCCTATCTCAAAAAGACAAACAATAAAATAAATTTTTAAAAATATAATTTTGTCTACTGTGGGAATATAACTCCAAGGACAAGGGGAGGCGCTGCTTATTTAGTTTCTAGGAGGTTGAGGGGGAAGAGGACACAGCTTCTGTTTTCTTTCTTCTGATTTTGCCAATTTGTTTCATATTCTTCTGTTATTTCTTCATTTTCGTTTGCACTGCTGCATTCCCTGTTTTCCAGGATTCTGTCTCTGTCTTCTAGAATGGCTCTGAATAGGAGATAATGAGGCAGGGCAGAAGAAATAAAGATACGTAGAAAGGAGGTAAGAGCATTGTTGCTGTAAAATTGTAGTTTTAAGAGAACTGTGAATTGCAGGCCATTCAGAGTGGTGTGACAAAATCTCCCACTGTCCCACTCTGTCCCATGAGGCATGCACCATCCCTGTTTGCAGCGAATCCATACTTTATCTACTTAGTAATGGCCCCAAAGTTTAGGAGCAGTGACTCTGACAATTTTATTACAATGTATTATTGTAACCATTCTATATCATATCAAGTAAATAAAGATTACTTAAACACACAAACTATGATACCACGATCAACAATCTGGAAACTAAGAAGGTTATGGAG